TTTATTGATCTTCAGTAAGCATTTCTTTATAGAAAATTTGTAGCCATTTTCATCAAATTTTCCTAACAATAGGAGGCTCTTTTACAGTTCTAGAACATGTCGTACACCAGAGACTATACGAGTGATGCCGTCAAACATAGTAATTTTGACATCTCCAACTCCCACTATTTTACATGCGTTGTTGTCACCTATGTAAACAGTTGCACCATTGCATGATTGGTATATGTAAACAAATATCTATATGACATCATATGGAAGGTGGCACCGGAATCCAATATCTAGCTATGTTTTAAGCTTTCACATGAATCAACAGGCAACATCTAACCATCTTTTGATGAATCACTTCCTTTTCCGATGCTTCCTTGAGAATTCTCTGGTTCTCAATCAAAGTTGGGTTGGCTTTGATTTGCTTTGGGTTGTCTGCAATCTTTTCGAAGGTTAACCTTTTTGCCGCAATTCCAACACTTGAGTCCTTTCTTTTTGCCTCTTGACTTGGATTTCATTTGATTTTTACTAAAGTTGTTTCTTTCAATAAATCTACCCCGTACCATCATTGCATCGCTAGAAGAACTCTCACCAATTTTTCTACAAGATTCTTCCGTAAGCAACATAGAAACAATAGATTTTAAGGACAAATCTTTTGTGTTGCTTAAATTTATTATCAAACTATCCCAAGAATCAGGCATGGAGCAAAGCAAAAGAACAACATTTTCTTCATTGTCAATACGTACCTCAACAACTGCTAATTTGTTTACCAAAGTGTTGAACTCATTCAGGTATTTTTGCAAAGAGTTTTTGTCCTTCATTCTTGAGTTGTAAAGTTGTCTCTAGAGGAAGATTTTATTGGACATTGATTCCCCTTCATAGAGATTCTACAACTTGTCCCATAAAACCTTCATAGTTGATTCATTAAACACATTGAATAAGACCAAATCTTCTAAAGCAAGAAGAATATCTACCATTGTTATTTAGTTCTTCTCAAACTCTTCAGCCTTCATGTCAGCAAGCTTCTCATCCTTTTCTTTCAAGGCAATTGTACAATCTTCTTTCACGAACACAATATGCATCTTCAGCTTATAGATTGCACAACGAAACAACAAATACAAATTTTAGCAGAATCCCAAGTCAAAACCATGAAGCTCTGATACCAATTGTTGGGATTGGCATAACGGATAATTTATATGTGCATAAAGGAAAGGAAACAGAAATAGTAAAAGCCAAAGAAAAAGAAAGAGAAGATAAGAGAGAGAGAGAGCACCGAATTTAACGTGGTTTGGCCAAATTGTCTACATCCATGGGCAACAGATCGGAACTTCTTCTTCACTATAAGAACAAGAGAAATTACATTAAAACCTCATTACAATCTCTCAACACACACCCTTACTCCCTTCTTGGAAAGCCCGTACCCAATATCCAAACACCCACTCTCATACAAGAGAATAAATAAGAATGAATGGGATAATTTATAAGGCTATGGACCACCCGACAAAACTCGCATTTCAGACAAATTTTGCACCATTTGATTTGCCGCCCAAATGAAGAGCTAGGATTAAATCTCCCTTTTTCAACCCATAGCAAATATCCGTTGGTTTTGTCCGATAATGATCAAAGAATTGAGGTGAAAAATGGTTTTCACCTCAAAATGATCAAAGAATTGTCCGATAATGTTGTTCATAGCCCAGCTGTGGTTATTGAGAGTGTCGAAATCCGATTCCCAAATTAAATTTGTAGCGCAACTGCGAAAGTAGGATGTTATATAACGACGAGTGTTCATAAAAATGTGCTTGTAGACGATAGAAGGAAGAAAATAACAATCATGGGTGGCAATAATAGCATGTTTTGAAAATTTAAGGAACTGTTGAGGACACTTTTACCCTTTACATTTTAATCTGTTAGAGTTAGAAGGTATATTTAAAATTATAGGGTACCTTTCAGTAATTTCTTAAATATAGAGCTAGGTTATATAAATAATTATCCTCAAGATTTTCTGCCACCAAGATCACATGTGACCCCAATGAAATATGAACAGCCCAAGCTTTTAAATCAAATATGATGTGAAGTTTTGTTTTTTCTTCCAAACTTTTAAACACCCTCATGTTTGCATTCTAGAAGGTGTATCCGTATTGTCGGAAATGCAATTTCTTGGAAATGGCATTATATATATCTCAACGGATGTAAATTATAAGTAGGGGTGGATTCAAGTCGAGTCTAGCCGAATAGTATGAGGTTTGAGTTTGAGTTCGAGTTTGGTTCGAGTTAAAAATTTATAAGCTCGAGTTTGGTTCGCTGTAAATTCGGTTTTGAGAAAAATATTTTATAAAATTAAAAATTATATATAAAAATATTTTTTATTTGATATTTAAAAAAATAAGAATTATAATAATTAATAATTATAATATCTTTATTATATATATTCGAATCGGTTCATGAGCCTTACGAGTTGAATTCTAATAGCCTTGAGCTTGGCTCGTTTCATAATCGAGCCAACGAATTGGACTCGAACTCGAGTTGAAATTCAATTGAAACCGAGCTAAGTCGAGCTCGAACAGCTCGTTGCCACCCCTAATTATAAATAACCATTGATAATTCGTTCACTATCAAATAAGCAACTATATATAGTTTAGGAAGTTGGAACCAGACCGAGTCGAGCCTATATTATCAATATTATGGGTTTAAGATCAAAAGTAGGCTTGAAAGGGCTCTCTAAAGCCCACTAATTAAATCTTGGGTTGCACAGGCCTTGTTTTTGTGTGGGCCGCGTGGACTGGGACGGACCAACCTACATGAAGACTTACTAACAATATCTTCATTGTCGCCATTTCATTACCACTTAGATATGCCAGCACACTTCAAGAGGATTCAGTCGACCTCATATCTTCTTGTTATTCTCATTCTGAGTCTGTATAATCAGCTGCATTTCTCTGTTTTTCTGTTTTTAAGAATAGATTTACTCTGTTTAGTGCTGTTTGTGTTTTGGCGGGTGAGTTGTTTTAGTGTTTAAATATGCTCTTTTTGCTTGCTTGTAGCGGTTTTGTTTGGTATCAGTACTAGCAGCAACATTTTCAATATCATATTTATTATCTAACGTCGAAGATGATGTCACATCATTACACCGCTGGCAATAGTGTACTGTTTTCTCAAAAAACAGTTTCCCAAGGCGTGATTTAGAGTACCATTTTATTAGAAAAATGGTACCAAATAATAGGATATTGTTTGAAGCATTGTTTTCTTTAACGTAGCACCTACATGACACCGTTTTCTCAAGAAACAGCATTGATGCCAAACACCCACTTGGTTTGTTTGCTGCCTGTTTGCTTTCGTTGTTGTAGGTTATAGCTCCATTTTCTTGCTGTGCTGTTAATGAAATTTTCTTTCTACTGAGAGAGAGGTCTCATCTGGTTTTTGTGTAATCTGTGTAAACTCTGGTTTTGATAGATTTCCATTGCCATCATCATGCCATGGACCCATTTTGGAAGTTCATTTTGGCTGTTTAAGGCTGTATTTAGTTTAACAGAAAAAAATAGGAAACATGCATGTCCTCTCTACAATTTTCCTTTCTTTTCCTACCGTTTCTTTCAAACCAAACACTGCCCCAAGTGTCCAAGAGTCTGCTGTGTTTGGAAGGACGCTTGGGTCCATGAAGGAAAGGGCGAGATTGAACCTCATCTTGCAGAATGCAGGGTTATCCAATCTGATGATGCCATTCTCTTGGAAAAGGAAACAGAAGCAAATCCTAGAATAGATTGGTTATGAAACGGATAATAAACAGGTGCAGTCGTTTCCAGGAATTTTCTCACTCGTGTACGTGTGTTGAGACTTGAGAGGATCAAGGTCATGGAATAAAATCCGTTGACTTTTACCAGTTGGTTCCCCCTCGCTCATCTCATGTTTGATTTTGTAATTAATTGCTGCGACTTGGATTGGGCCAATTTCAGCTTGATATACTTTTTTAATTTCTAAGTTTTGCGGGGGGAGGTTGGCACTGCACCAACAGGATTTCTATTTAGTATTTCTTATAAATTGCTCTTGAAGTTTGTGATCGTTGCTGAATTTTTTTTTGTAATTATAATTAAGAAAATTTATGACGCGAGCAAGACATGATACTGTCACAACACAACCCCTAATGAATTTGATGAAAATTAACCTGATTTGTTATTATTATGATGCTGATTGATTGATCGTAAGTTCTTGCATCATAGTTGAACCCATTGTAATTTTTTTCTCTAAATTTTTTTGCAAGTAGTTGAACCCATCATAGTTTTTTTATGTTTTCCCAAAAATAATAATATAAATTTTACAAAAAACAGAAAAAAATGGAGAATTTAAATTAGCAGCTTTTTCTTTGAGTAATTAATATAAAGGGCTAATTTGAAAAATAAATCAATTTAAAAAAAAAAATAATAGAAGAATTTGATTTAGCTGGAAAATTTGTAAAAGAAAAAATAATTGTACGAGTATTTTGGATTGCTTCCACAGGAAATTGGTGGTGCGTTCACTTTGAAATATAGTGGTTTCGACAATTTGTCCTAGTGTTAATTATGTTTATTAAATCATTACAACGCGTTGCTTCCGTAGCATAGTGGTAGTGCGTTCGCTTCGTAAGCGAAAGGTCGCGAGTTCGATCCTCGCTGGGAGCTTTGCATTAAATATTTTTATTTTTAAATTTTAAAATATTAGAAACTGAGACCGAATTAACCCTTACAACGTCCCACAGCACATCCCTTTCATGTATAGAATCCACACCCTCTCGATAGAGGAATAGATCCGGTCTCCTCGACGAGGACCTTGACTTTATTACATGGGTCCACTGAACAGAACCCACTCCTAATTTTGCGTAAGCGTTCTCGGTGAGACACCGGAGCCTAAACTTCACCGCCAATTAAACAAAGCAAAGTTTGACAATACATTAGCAAATATTTTTTGTTTGATACATCAATACATTAACATTTCTGCTAATAGAAGAAGATTCTCCATTAATTAAGCTCCAAAACAAAGTTAGGTGACGGTCTTGAGTCATGGCAGCTTCAACTGAAATGAATGAGAATGAGAGGCTACATACTTTACTTTTACCTAAAAAGATAGCTCATATAAATTGTCAACTAATGAGTATCTCCACCTTCTGGTATCTCACCTCCATTTGGAGTCTGGAGACAGAAGCTGCCCCCTCGTGTGGGCTATTTGGCCTCTAATCATTTCATTGATTCCTTTACTTTCTGTTTCTCTTCCATTTAATAAGTAGTCTTCCCTTTTTATTATAATCTTTATTTTTTTTTTTTTTCTCATGATAGGAGATAAACTGATGCACCCCTATAATTCCCTTTGATACATCTTGTACAAAATAATACGCGCGTTCTAATGTGAACCACATGAGCATTATTTTGGAATTAGAATGAAAATCCTTAGACACTAATAATTCTATGTACAAAACTTTCCTACCAGCAATAACATAGAAAGCAAAAAATCAATGTATGTATGAAGAGAAGCAACATTCTAATGTGAACCACATCCGACGATGCGTGCAAGCTTATTGAAGTCATGTTCATCTCTGTGCTTGGAGTTGATTTCACCAGCACACATGAACCTTAGAGTCCTCTCAATGTGGTATCCTCCCCCTATGCTTACTTCTCTCTCCAGATGACAGCAGTAGCTCTCGAACACACTTACGTTTACATGCAATTTGAAACCCATCAAGAACAGAAAATCAACCTCTAGTCTGTTGAGCTCTTTGGTTGTTAGCCCACCAACCTTTGCGAAGTAAGAGTTCCTATAATTCCTGCACAGAGGATGAACAATTAATGGGTTAGTGAACCAGCAAATCAGTGTACGTAGTTGAGCAAGATTGAGAAGAACCAGAGGAAACAAATTAAAGAGAAGGTCATCGCTCACATGTCCTCCACAAATTTAGAGGCGACCATGATGGTAGTAACTAGAAGCCTATAGACATTGCTGGATGTAATCCGAAACTCAGGATGCATTTGGCAGAGGCGGTCAATGTAGGCATAGGCGACGACATAAACCGGCGGTCCAACGCGCGTATAACGGAAGATTCTCTCGAGAAACGACTGAATGGTCATGTCTGGTACCTGATAGCAATAGAACTCCCGAATTCGGGGATCTTTGGGCAGCATCCAACTACTTCTTCTCGAAGTTCTTTCATTTCTAGCCATGCTTCTCTCGATGAGGGAGGCAAGAACTGAAATCACCAAGGGGCTGTTTGATTCGTCTTGATATGAGAAAGAATACAGATCAGAACGAAGCCTTGCTGGAGAAATCGGGGTAGCGGACGAACCCATTAGAGAGAGAGATTAGGGGAGATACCTACCCGTGAAAAAGGGCTTACTGAAGAAGTGAAGAACTGAGTGGGTAGAGGAGTAGAGTTGGTTAGTTGCAATGAGAAGGATTTATACAGGAAGAAATGAGCGGGTAGAGAGAGGTGTGACGATGTGAAAATAAAGAAATGAAGGGTAGGGAGGGACAGTCTTCGGGGTTCGGAAAGAGGTTGGAAGCAAGCGATGGCATCAAAATATAGCGTATTGTCGCATGGTTTTGGAGAGAAAGGAAACAAAGTAGAGAAAAAAACAAACTTCCTCTGTCCTTTCTTAAATTATTTTTAATGTCGCCGACTTGCTGCATTCGATGTCAGTTGTATGGAGAAAGAATAAATTAAAGGTTTGGGATCCGAGGTCCATTAGTCTTTGATCTTTCCACGGAGATTCATAGGTTCTACTTCTACCTCTGTAACTGAAGTGAAACTCCTCTCACTCTAAACTCTTCTATCCAGTTATCCAATAAGTAGGTTTAACGGATTACCATTTTACAGAAACCAGGGGCGCAGCTTAGACCAAGCTGGCATTTGCATGCTCCATGTTAGGCTATGAGTCACAACTTAGTCCAACATCCTGGCACCGCCGGTCAAGCCCAATAATATTTGTCTAGTGTATTGATGTGAGAGAGAATGGGGAGGGGGCTTCCTCCAGTTCCAGGATGTCCATGATTCGTATGGTCAATTTTAACCCTTTTTCAGAAGGGGGAAGAGGAGTCAGTTATTATTATTATTTAAGTTGTTGGGCAAATTTGGAGTGGGGATAGTGAAGGTGGCCTGATTAAGGTTGGCCCGGGTTGGCTTAGAAGTTAGGAGCCCTAGCCCAACCCAATGTGCCAAAACCTCAATCTTGGTCCTAACCCAACCCGGTCTTCAGCCCAAGGTTCTCAAGTCTCAACCTTAGGGTTGGGTTTGATGGGTTCAATTAGCTGGGATTTTTATGTACCAAATTTACAAAGACATATATGCATAAGTACAACCATATTTCATAAAAAGTGTAGTTGTATAGAAAGATGATAGGCAGATATCATACTATAGGAACATTTTATAATGAACCTTTCATTGTCATCCTCTCTCCCACCCTTTTCATTGTCATACTCTGCTGCCAAAATCAGCAATTTAATAGGTTGATCCAGGCAAGTTAGACCAGTTCCAATCTGAAAATAAAACACACCCAGATGTTATTATAGTCAGGCTTATTAGATCTGAAGTGATAAAAGACTGAATTTGACAGTAAATTTGCTAATTTTCTTGTTCTCTCTTCTCAAAATATCTTTTATCATCTATAAAATTAATTGATTTTAAAAGAAATCTTACAAATTAATCATAAAAAAGCATATATATAATGTTTGAAGGTACTTTTGTCATATTACACTTGTACATGTGCATATATAATTTTTTGGAATTTTTACCGTTCAGTCCACCTCTGAAATCCTAGCTCCTCCGTACAGTTGGGGGTAGATGACAGCTCAGAATTAATGTCAATTCTGGGTGTTATAGGTGGCTATATTCATAAATTTGAATTGTTGTAGGTCTGTAGTTCAAATCTGAATTCTGAGGTGGAGTGCAATCTAAAAATCCCTAATTTTTTTTTTGGGTCTTAATTGGATCAGCAATCCAATTCTAAGCCTATTACAATAAGAAGTAAAATGCAGAATCAGCATACCCTATTAGTAATTGGGAATAAAGTACATACATAGACCCTATGCAATAGGGCCAAGTTGAGCCACTTTGGCTTGACCGGGACTGTTGGCAAACCTGTCTATACCCTTTTTTGTAATGAAATTTACCCCGTGCAATAGTTGAAATTTGATTTGGTCCTCATAAAACCTAGTTTATACCGTTGCCAGAGTCCCTTGCAGCCTTGCATTGAGAATATCTCCCCACAAATAAAAGCATATTAGTATGGAAATACTCTTAATGCAGAGCTGCAAGGGACTATATGAACAGTGTGAATACGGTCTTGTGAGCACTGAAGCCAATCTCGCAATAGTTGGTTAGAAGCTTCTATTGTAAATTTTGGAAGATACCCATGGAAAGATAGAATGGTAAGAGGAACTTTTTCATTGCATTTGCTATAGAAATTAGAAACCATGGTTTTGAAAACCAAATCAGACCGGATGGTTGGACTAGAAAACTGAGAATCATTTAGGTAATCAATTCCATTTCACCTTAAAACCACTTTTCGGCCCAAAACTAGGGTTGTTCATAAGAAGGCCCAACCCGACCAAACCGACCAACCCGGATTGACCCAACCCGAGTCGGTCGGGTTTTCATCAACACGGGTCGGTTTCGGGTTGTGCAAATTCTAAACCGATGATTCGGGTCGGTTTCGGTTTTCACACCTAGTTCAAACATGAAGTTCCAAAACCCATTAGGCCACCTAGTTTTTGAATGGTTGTAAGAAACTTTGGATTAGTGAATAGTGATTAATGAACAACTTTTGTGATTAACTTTTCATTTAAATTTTATCATAGGAGATGGTTGAAATGATATTCAATTTATGACTGTTTTTAAAATTAGAAAGATTTTATCACAGGGATGAACTAAGAACCGAAACCGACCCAAACCGACCCAACCCAACTCAAACCAACCAGGTCAGTTTTGCTTAACACTGGTTCAGTTTTGGTTTCTATGTCAAGTAACCCGATCAGGTCGGGTCGGTTGGAAAAACTGCAGTAAACCGACCCAACCCAACCCATGAACAGCCCTACCCAAAACCATTGATTTGGTTAATGACCTGTTGACTTAGACGGTCAAACCGTCAACCTGAACAATGATTTTTAACTATTTTTTTTTATTTTTTAAGTTAGATCAGACCATCCATTTAAACCAGACGTTTTGAACCATTCGACCTGGAAACCGATTCCCAAAATGGTTCCCTGTCCGTCCGATTTTAAAATCCTTGATAAAAACATAAAGATTTACTCTATTTTCTTTTTCGGGACAATATCGATCGAGGTTGAATTAACCCTACTAGGCTACTATTACACAAAGAACAACAGAACAAGCTCGTTATCATATATTAATGATAGAAGTAGGTACGGATGCAAGGCTTGTCCCCTACGGAAGACACGTGCACTGTGGGTTATCTGGATGAATAAGAAGACTCGTAGGAAAGTCCATATACTTATATATATAAAAGGAATCTTCTAGGTGGTAGGGGAGTAGTCAAGTCGATCACTATGAAATTAACAAAAATTTAGGGTTAGGTTCATGCCTTTGGGTCGCGAGGCCCTGGCAGCTTGATATATATGGATGAGAAGAAATAAAATAAATCCCAACTAATTGATCAGTTCAATATGCTAAAGCAGATTTTCATTCTTTGGAACCTTTGTTCCCTTTTCATCTCTTTCACCTTTTTTTTTTAATTTGCATGATGTTTGGAAGCGTGAGACTGATTTTCAAGAAAAAATGTCTATGTTTTTAATACCTGTTTTTCACAAGAAAACACTTTGCCATGTAGGCAGTGAGTAATACTATGCTATTTGGTAAGGTGATTTTCATCACCGTTTTTCATGTATGTACCGACAGGTAAACACCACATAGGATACACATCAGTCAATTGTTGAAGGAAACGGTTCACTAATGCATGAATCATTTAACGTTTCATGCATCGGTGGGGTCCCGATTTTTGAGATATGCCCGATTTTTTAATAATCGGCTGAACCAAACAACGAAATACATGAGCGTTTATTAAAATGCCTATGTGAATCCGGCGTGGCACCGCTTTCTTTTAGGCTACGAATCCAAACATCCCCTTGAGAAATGGTTTCAAATTAGTGTCTTTTTTTGGTGCATGCATTCAAATACTATGCATTAATTATTATATGTTTAGTCAAATTCCATTAAATCAAGTGCTAATTGATAAATTTAAAATACCAGTTGTAATAATAATAGTAGGGGAAGATCAAATTCTTGTAGAAATGTCTCCTTAAAAGCATCAAACATGGCCCTCTGCAAGCTCTAATTAGGGAATAACAACAGATGCCATTATTTCTCTCCTCTGATTTGTTAGTACACTTGTTGGGATTGTTATGGCCATTTCAAGGGGTTTAGTAATGATCAAACCAGCTACAGCTACTAATTATGTTTTGGTTTCATGGGGTATAAGACATGCTTGGGTGTAAGAAATGAAGGGCCAAATGTATACAGATTTCACAGTGTCAAAAAGGAGAAGAAGCTACAAAGAAATGTTGGGTCCATATGGGATCCAATTCCAATAGTGTTTGTGGGATCATACATCCAAGTTGTTTCCCTCACCCTTTTCACTCAAATGGTAACACTTTAAAGCTGTGCTTGGTTTGAAGGAAAAAATAGGGAAAGGAAGAGAAAGATAGAGAAACCTATACGTATATTCCCTACCTTTTCCTTCAAACCAATCATATCCTAAAAAGAATTGATTTATGAAAAAGAGAGAAAAATCGGCACTTTAATTACTCCTCTTCATCATTCAGTGGAGATGCATGACCAGTTCAAATATTAGACAATTGAGTTGACAGAAACTGTTCTTGGGTGGAACTTTCCCCCTCTCCAACCATACTATATTCCCTCCACCCACCGGGCCACCACCACCATTCCAAAAGAAAAAAGAGAATATTCCGGCCCACCCTAAACTTCTGCAACAAGTTACAAGGACTAACACTCGAGGACTAATGGTGGGTGTTGGGGAGGGGAGATGTGAATTGAAATACTATAAAGTTTCCCCATGACTTGACCGGAGGCTAGTCATCGTCACTCAACACTCTTCTTAGCTAGAGCTTGTTTCTTTTTCTTGTTTTGTCTGTTAAATCTTGTGATGCATCTACTATTAAAATATTAAATCAATAAAGCAATTAAGAAAAATAAAAGAGAATCCATTGATATAATTGAGTTGGTGTTAAATCCTCTGGTGAATCTACTATTAAAATATTAAATGAAAAATGCGATTAATTAAGAAAAATAAAAGAGCATCCATCAATATAATTGAGTTGGTGAGGAAGAGCTTTGTAAGTTTGGGTTTTGAGGTAAGGCAGGCTACATCCCCTTTTGCATCTTTTTATAATCTTTTTGGTAATGGTAAATAAAATTTTAAGAGTATCATCCCTCCACTTGGAGTAAAGTTTGGGGTTTAAAAAAAAAAGATTGACATAATCTTTTGGTATGTTATATTTTTGGGTAAATTACAATAAGTACTTTATACTTTGAGGTATTAATAGATGGATACCCTAAATTTTCAAATGCAACATAAGAGTATCCTTAACTCCCAAAACTATCCCAAATCCCAAAACTATCCGTTATTCTCATCATGTGAAATTTTAAACATTTCAAAATCCCAAAACTATCCCATTTCTATTTTATTAGACTATTTTGAAATGTGATACTTGAGCATCTTATACTTTGAGGTAGTGACAAATAGGTACGATGAACTTTCAAATGTGACATTTGAGTACCTTGAATTCCTAGAAATAGAAACCTTGGTTTGTCTTGAAATTCTTATTTTTCTTTTCAAATTTCATTCTCAAGCCTGAATTACAAGAAACATAGATCAATCAACAAAGAAGAGAAAGGGGTTTCATTCTCAAGTTTGGTTTTTCTTACTTTTAAAACTGTATTGCTTGTTCTCCACTATGAAACTGTAGTTCTAAGATCTTCATTCTCAAGTTCTTAGTTTTGAAATCCTTATTTTTCTTCTCAAATTTCATTCTTAATAAAATGTCATTTTGCTCATGTTCTAGGGTGTCTATTTTTTAAAAATTCAGACTTCAGAGCAGTATTTTCAAAACCGGACTAGATTAGATGGTTGGACCGGAAAAACCAGGAACTGGTCACTTGATCGGTTCTGTTTCACCCTAAAACCACTTTTTGGTAAAAAAAAACTGATGATTTGGTCAATGAACCACTGGCCCGGGTAGTTGAATCGTCAACCCGTTGACCCGAATAATTTTTTTTGGCCATTTTTGTTTTTTTTTTTATTTATTAGTCAAAGTAGGCCATCCATTTGGTCCAAATGGTTGGACCGTTCGACCTAGGAACCAGACCCATAACAGTTCCTTGTCTGGTTTAGTTTTAAAAACCTTTGCTTAAAAGTATTCAAATTTTACATTTGAAAATTAGGATACCTATTATTTATCATTAACCCAAAAGTACAGGGTACCTATCTATTTACCCTTTTTTTGCATCAAGAATATAAATATATACACCATAATGATTTGCCACTTTTTATATGTTCTAAACATCAAGACCTGTCATGAGGCGAATTTATCCAACGCATACTCTGAACTAAAGGTGTGTTTTCGCTTTTAATGTATACCAGCAAAGGGGCCTCTCCAAAACATGATGGCAAGTGGCTTGTCAAAGATAAATTATTATATAGGAAAAATTTTGCTAAAGATAAATTTTTTAGTTAAAAGTTTATTGGAAAAAAGATCTATTTAAAATAAATAAAAAGTTATGGATAATAATATATTTAATTTAATTAAACAAAATAATAAGTAAATAATCATTGCGTATAATTTTATTATATTATTATATTAAAATAAATAAAAAGTTATGGATAGTAATATATTTAATTTAATTAAACAAAATAATAAGTAAATAATCATTGCATATAATTTTATTATATTATTCTATTTATCATTGCATATATATAAAAATTGTACACATCATAATATATATAATTTTATTTTATCATTGCATATATAAAAAATTGTACACATCAAAATTCATATAGAATAAACTTTTATGATCTTTTTTAATTATTTTGTCCGTTTATTTTAATTTATGTTAAAATATTTTCATTAATTTTTTCAAATTTTTTTAAAAACATGGATTAGTCCAGTTCGTGGCCTGACTTGGCATGCAGACCAGACTGACCCGTGACATGACACAGGCCTACGTAGGCTCAAGCCGAGAGTTGTATCGGGCTGACCCTCTAAAGTATCCCATGGGAAGGAAGCACAACCTAACACAGCCTGATTGTAAATAAAATGAGAGATACAAATAATTTTTAACAAATATGAAAAATGTAGAAATTCGGTGACATCTTTGTAAATCGTTAATAGTGATACAATTGTAAATAATTACTATATGAAATATGAAAGAGGAAAAGAAGAAATGACAAGTTATGATTTTTTTTTTATAGATTATAAGATTTGATTTAAATTATATGAAAAAAGATTCGATTTGACAAATGCCTACAGTTTTTTACTTTTAGATTATATATAGATTAATATTTATGCATACTATTTGATATTTATATTAAATTCACACCGGCTGTCACTTGGCAATCCTCCAAATAAAAGGTCGTACAATATCAAAAGTGTGGAACTAGGTGTTTGATTGATAGAGCTCACGTGCACCCTACTCTGCCCCACCCGTGGAGTGTAGCATGCAATACAATACAAAGGTAGCGTGTGCTAATTTATAAATTCTATACAGTAAGTGCGACCCATTTGCTGATTGGTTGTTATGCATTTAATTACGTCATATAAACTGTCATGCTTTTATTTATTTTATATAAATTACATGGCAGGCTATAGCATTTTGATTTTTGAATGGCGAGACACGTCGCTCAAATTAATAATATTCCCATCTGATTGATTGAGACCCTTTTAAGTTTTAACAAACTTTCAGCCTTTTCTCAAATGCCAAATGAATGGTGATTCAGTTAGTTAGTATTTGATGCGGATTCGATTTTGGGAGAAGGGGTTATTAGTATTGAAGTAAAACCAAAATCAGAATGGAACAACACAAAATAATTAGCAAAGTGACGTCCTCTATACCACTAAAAGTGCGCGTCTTAATATGAACTAAAACGGGGTGAGCTGATTGAAATCATTTTCTTCCCTTGCTTGAGATTGATTTGATCTCTTCGGCTTCGGTCCACAGGGACTTGAGTGTGCTTTCTATTTGGTAGCCTCCTCCTACGCTTACTTCCCTCTCCAGATGACAACAGTAGCTCTTGAACACGCTTACATTAACGTGCAATTTAAACCCCACGAGGAACAGAAAATCAACCTCTAACTTGTTCATCTGGTTCGTCGTCAATCCCCCGACCTTTGCAAAGTACGAATTCCTGTAATTCCTGTGTACGTGAGTCGTGACGTGCCGCAATTTGTTAATCCCAGCGGACAACTAATTAATTAGCTAGACCAATCAAGGAAATTCTAAAATCTAAATCAATTGATATTGATATAGCATAAAGAAAGGAATGAACAAAGTGAGGAAGGAGGAAGAGAGCTCACATGTCTTCCACAAATTTGGAGGCCACCATAATGGTGGTAATGAGAAGCCTATGAACATTAGTGGAGGTAATTCGAAATTCGGGGTGGATTTGGCACAGCCGATCAATGTACACATATGCAACCACGTACACCGGGGGCCCAACACCAGTGTAACGAGAAATTCTCTCAAGAAAGGATTGAATTTCCATGTTTGGCGCTTCATAGCAATCGAATTCGAACGCAGCAAGACTTCTGGAATCCATTGATAGTGACCGGCTACATTTTGTTGCAATCCTCTCGTTCTTAGCTATGGTTCTCTCAAGGAGAGAAGCAACAACATAGATCACTAATGGGATATTTGAATCTTCTTGGTATGAGGAGTAGAGATCAGATCGGAATTTTCTTGGGGTAATTGGAATTGAAGATGAGACCATTTTCGCTGCAACTACAAGGGAAGAGAGAATAAATGCCTTTGTTTGGCTCAGATGCTGAAGCCTATGGAAACTAACAAGGATTTATACGATATGGAGAGAGTTCAGGGTTGGTTTTTTTTTTTTTTCCCTTCATTTGCTTTATTGTCGAAGACGGACCACTCGGTCCCATTGCCTCTTAGTTGTGATGTCTATAAAAAAATGGGAGATGGGAGGGTGTTTGGACATTGGGAAAGTGGTTGTTGGAAAGAAGGATAAAGTTTGATAATGTAAGATGTTGTCCCCCTCAATTATTTTATTTTCTGAAAGAAATCACCGACAGTGCGGAAGGAAAGGACGATATTAAGAAAGTGATCCATCAACCCGGTGTGGTGACCTTACCCCAATTTCACTTGGCCCACAAAACCCATCAAACCATTAAAATCAGTGGCCCACAAGGCCCAATAATCCATAACCATATCTTAGAGGAGGACAGCGATGGAGTCCGTCTAACTGCATGGCAGTCTTCCTTTGTTTAAACCCTTTGATTCCATTACAAGTTTAAAAAAGAAAAAGTTGATTACAACACTCTATATTGAAGTATTATTTTTTAGAGTCCGATTATGATGCCAGAAAATTTTATAATTAATTATTCGACTTAAAAAGTAATAATCAATCAGGTGGATATTGATCAAAATTCATGAAGGATTTTGATTGATCAAATCTCTTCCGATATCATGTCTTCTTGGCATTGTTTCTTAAGTGAAAGATTACAATCTAATGGTTTTCTTGGCTATGGGACTAAAATGTCTGACAATGCAAGGGGGCCTCATATATAATTCGTTATGTCTAAGGTAAAGATCTATATTTATTCTAACCGAAGAGGATCATCCATCCTATCTGTATCCCATTTTATAGTGGGATAGCATTGTATTAAAGATCATTGTTTAGTACCACGAGTCTTAAAACAGTTTGCCAAATTTTTGGGCCCCCAGGCCCAAATTGTCATCTTCGAAAATAAAATTAGACACCTCTATACTACACAGTACACAGTACGCAGTCAGGACCTTTTCGGCTTGATCTTCGGGTCGAACCTTTTTATATTCTGGCAAAAAGGTAAGCCCGAGTCCGGCCCATGAACAGTTTGCAGTGAACACATATATGTACAAGGAACAAGGATCTCCCATTCGTCATTTCCTTGATGGAACCAAAATCACCCTAAAGTCAGTACACGCGTGGAAAACAGAATTCGGATTAACTGAAGCTGTGTAACCAATCATACTTCACCACTAGTAGTGATGAAATACATAGCGCCCACACTGAGAGGTTGAATGGTTGGGGCCATGTATTTTATGATTGGTGCGGAGTGTTATTATTGGTTTTACAGCCTTCTGATCAGCTATTTTGTTCTTAGGGTTTTTATCAGCACAAAGGAAACATGAGAGAAACTGGAAGTGTTCTTTCTATTGTTCCATATAAATGAGTTAGGGGAAGAATGGCTGAAAAAGATTACAATTCCAAAATCCCCTTAAATCTACGGGTATTTAGGGGTGTCAATTGGACTGGATTTGGTCCGATCTGATCCAGCCCAATGTGAGTCCGTTATAAATGGACCAGGTCCAATCCAATCCAATGAATATTTTGGATCAGTCCAAATCAATGTCTGGACTGTCCAATCTGTTCAAATTCGTTCTGATTTAAATTGGTTTCAATTCAAACCCGGTCCATTGACACCTATATTCTTATCTCATATCAATGGATCAGATATTCGCTTAATCCAACCCAATCCAATCTAATAAATATTTTGGACTGATTTGTTCCAATCCAATATGTCTTGTTGGTCCGTCTAATCCATCCAAATTGATTTTGGACTGGATGGGATCCAATCCAAAACTGATCCATTGACACCCTTTTATGGGTATTGATGATACATAATAAAAATTTTAAGGGTAAAATAGTCACCTTAAAATCAAATCTTTGCCCTAATCAGCAATAAAATTTGACCTGGGCCACATCTTGGACTAAAATTGTTTAGAGTGGGCTTTTGCTAACTTTTGCCCAACCAATTATGGCCGTAGGAGTGTCAATTGGACTGGATTTTGTCCAATCCAATCCAGTCCAATGTGAGTCTATTACAAATGGGCCAGTTCCAATCCAATCCAATGAATATTTTGGATCATTTTGGTCCGGTCAATTCAATGTTTGGACCATCCAATCTGTTCAAATTTGGATTGGGTTGGCTCAATCCAATATATAGATTCATTATGGATGGACCAGGCTCAATCCAATATATAAATTCATTATGGATGGACCAGGCTCAATCCAATCCAATAAATACTTTGGACCATTAAGTCTGGACTGGTCCAATTCAATCTGTCTTTTTGGTCCCTCCAATCCGTCCAAATTGATTTTGGTTTGGATGGGTCCAATCCAAAACCGGTCCATTGACACCCCTAATTATGGTTAAAATATACAATGTACAGCTTATATGCATGTATAATACATGGAGGCATAAGCATGTTTAACGTGTCTCACACTAATAGTATATTGTATTCCATATACTGCTAGTATTATCAAGACCAAATCAACCCCCCACAACGTCCCACAGCACATTCCTGCCGTGTATTGAAAACATCTCCTTATGATAATCTCAGAAACGATGATGTCATCATCGGGATATGCTCCCAATACACAGCGAAAATGTACTCTGGGATGTTGTGGGGGGCAATCTTGTGGGGGGCTGTTTGAACTCTGTATTATCAACTCAAGGATCAGAGTCCGGACCTGCCAACAAAATACCTTCAAACACCCTATCAACAACATCGGACACCAGGCATCTCATATATGGCGGTTCCACTTTTATGATGGCCCCCAATTTTATAGTAAGATGTAGTATCAGATCAAATTGATAGGGTGCTAGATGTTGTTTTGTTGACAGGTGATCGCAAGTCCGTGGATTGTAGATAAGATCTAATTTGGGCTAGATTAGGATCCAGCGTGTTGGAGCGAAGTCTGGCCTTACTTGATCAAAAGTCCAAACCCAAAAATAAAACTATTTACGCTGGGAAAATCCTAAGCCAACCCAACCTAGCCTGACATAGGGTCAAGTTTATCAACTCGAATTGGTCTAGGGTTGACATGAAATTGACCTAAATCCAACTGATATGCACGCTATTTATGGAATCTTAAACATAATTTACAAGAATATACCTCAACTGAGGATCATTTCTCAGTCAGCTCAACTCTGAAGAAAGATGGTAAAATCGGGTTTGATTTGACGAGCTGAGGTTGATTCGGAAAACATAAATCATATATGTCCTAGAGATGGGCTTTTAGTTCATCCTCTAGAATTAAACTTTGGCCTAGCCCAAGTCTGGTGGGCCATTACATAGTCTTGTCCTCCATCATCCTGAGGACTTCATGGACCTTGGAACATAGTCTTGGACATAAATTAAAATCAGAATAACCTGGATCCAATGGTAAACACAATCTGAAAACAAAGAAATGGGGTTTATTATGTGCTTGGTCACAGACATGAAACAAACATAGATTGTTCAAAATTCAATAGCGGCAAGCCGGCAACCACTTGTAGTGCAAATATATTTTTCCATAGGCATGAAATTTGGCAGGTGAAGAGGGCCTGAGGCGTACACGCAGATAACTAAAGCCCAAGACCCATTAGGGCATCAAGCCTTAGTAATATTAAATTCAAGCCCACTTAGAATATTAAAAGGAAGTTTTAACTACGACAATAGCCCTCTGACATGTAATTTAATTGGGAGATTATCTTAATGGTCCACAAAGATGGAGCACCGGATTTGCTCCTCAGAGAGCATTCCTCACACTAAACACATTCACTCATGCATGGGAATATCTCTTGTACATGTATTTTGCCATTCAGGGAAGATGTTCCCAATATACGCCGCAATGTGCTGTGAGAATTATTGTTTTAAAATAAGCCTTAAGCCTCAAGCTATGAGGCATAGTTTGAAGTGTAAAAGGTGTAAGTTTCAAGAATCAATTATTATTTAGTTATTTAATGCAAAATAATAAATTTTATGCATTTGTTATCTTTTCTCTTTTTTAATTATGGTTTTATTTTCTTTTCATTATTTTTTTTTGGCATAGATCAAATCAATTAAATTGGTTCCTTTCTTATAAATTGGTCATTTGAATAATTTCAGAACTTTTCATTTTGAAACATGAAATATGAAGTGTTTATAAATGTTAGTTGATTAGTTATTATTTTATTTAATGCTTAAAAGTTAGAATTTATTGCTTAAATTTTTATTTTATGAATATTTATATCTTTTACCATTCTAATTTGTATATTTTATATTATTTTTTTCTTAATTTTAAGACTTAGGCCTTGCAACACCAATTGACAAAAACTACCCACTGAGTAAGCCGGGTGAGGCCCAAAACAACCCCAAGACCAAAGGACCTACCACAATGCCACTCCCAGATTATTCAAAACAATGTAAAAATTTGTAAACCAATTCTAGCTCTTTGATCCAATTTATGTTGGACCCCCTTTAACATGGGCAAATGGTCAGTCTAGTAAAGCCAGAATTGTAGAAAGATTGGACCGTGCTCTGGCCACTAATAATTAGCTATAGACATTCCCACATTCAGCCCTATCCCATCTACCAATCATTTCTTTGGACCATGGACCCATTAAATTAAAACATATTTATGGAGGCTTGGAACTTACTCGTCCACGGAAACCCTTGTGATAGAGTCATCACAAAGCTTAAACATTGTAAACATCTGCACAAAAAATGGAACAGGAGCAGTTTTGGCTTCATTCAAGATCATCTTCATTTGTTGTCACAAAAGATTACATCACTACAGATAGGGATGCAAATGGATCGGATTGGATTCGAATTAGGGTATATTCGAATCCAATCCAATATTTTTCATGTTGGATTCGATCGAATCTAATAGTATTTGATTTGAATTTGAATCCTATCGGTAAGTCGGTTTTTCGGATATGATCCAATCTGATTTATTTTCTTTAAAAATTAATAAATTATTAAAAAAAATAAAATATACTAATTTAAATAAACTAAAAACAAAACATACAAGTACATTTTAATTATTTTCATCATATATACATGTTTTTTAGAAAAAATAAATAATAT